GTTATGGCAATAGGCTTCCCCGCGGGCAGAGCCCACGTAGGTCTCGGCTGATTCCAGGGAGGAGGGGGCTGGGGACCTGGCTCTCCGGAAGCTCTTTATACTTAAATTTATAAACAAATCATTAGCTTAAGTCATTCCTTTTTTTTTTTTTTTTTTGGTAAAACTTCAGAAACGGACTTCCTGACTTCAAACTGTAGCCATTGAGCGCATATAGAATCTCTTACATTCGCGCTCAATGTGAAATGGATTATTATCTTTTCCTAAGCACGTTCTGTTTTCAGAGTAATCTCGCTAAAAACTAAAGCTCCAGCCAGCCGTATGTTTCCTCTCCCTAAAAAAGCCTTGAGCGAGTCCTTTCTCTCTACCCATACCTTTGAGAGCAGGACTGAAAAATAGACAGGCTTATGATTATGCCTCTAAGGACAAGCTCATTGTCCTCTAAAGGCAAGCGCCCTTTTAGTTACAATTTTGGTTGTAGAATATCGTTTATTTTGTAGTAAGTCATAAAGTGATTTTTGCAGTAATACATTTATATTACTCTACTGATGCACTGACCCAAGGGGTAGTTTTAAACATTTTTATTCGTATGTGTACTTGGACATAAATGTGGGTATATATTTATGTTCAAGCAGCTACATAGAGCCATGCTTTGGTTCTGTATGCTTTATACTTAAGCAAGTCTCGATACCTTTTTATGCGATTTAAAGAATGGCCCTGCAAAGACACTGCTGTCAGATGAGAACACGGGTCCCTATTGCCAATTTGCCTGTGGCAATATGGACAAGTGTTTATCAATTAGGTAAGCCCTTTTTTTAAAAGCATATAATTAAGCTTCCGGGTTGCACAGATATTCCCTTTCAGGAATTCCTAACTAATGCAAGGCAAGTTCTTAGAATTCTAAACGTGTGCGACGGTGAGGCCCGGGCAGGCTAAATAGCCATCGCAGGCAGTGAATAAAGATAAACTGAATTTATGTAAGGAAAAGGGCCTGGGGGATGGGGATAGCCAAAGGGTAGGGCTACACAGCACTGAGCCCCAGAGTATTGGGTCTATGATGGCAGCAAAAACGTACTTAGGACAGTGCAACAAGGAAGGGCATAGGAGAAGCAACAGGAAAGGGCTGCTTTGGCTCACTGGGAAGTCAGAGATAAGGGGGCCATCGAGGCAGGTTCAGGGGGGTTAGCCCAGGACGAGCTGCCGCTGCTCATCGCTCCCCTGGTTGCAAGTCTCATGGGGTCCCTAGAGGGTGGGGGATACGTGCCTGTGGGGCACGGAGAAGGGGAAAGGAGTGGCGTGGACGTGCTCCGTGGAGGGTTCCTGGTGTGCTCTTTCAGGGTCTTGGTCTCCACTGTAGCTGGTCCTGAGGCAGCCACCGTGTCACTTACCTGGTATTGCTGCTTTTCTGGGCCTGGAGCTGAAATGCAATGGAGGCCTAGACGTTATCTTTAGGGAGGAAAAGTCAGGGGGTCTAAACCGGATGACCAGTGATATGCTAGGGGAGGAGAGGTTACTCTGGAGACGAGGTTCTTGTTTTCCCAGTTTTGCCCCTTGCCGGGCATCCAGGGCCTTCTGCCCTGGTGTATTTCTCTCCCTGGCCCATTATCCTTGCTCTGCTCACGTCTGTCTAGCAGTGGACTGCAGTTAACATAATGGGACATCTGTGTGATAAATGTGCCTCCCTATGACATCCTTTTCCCTTAAAACATGCATGAAGTCTGATAATTATTGTTAACTTCCTGGTACATTTGTAAACTTGACAAGGAAAGGGATTTTGTGAGTAGTTTTTAAAGCTTTTCTCCCTTGACTCATGGTGCACGTCTCCATTGCTCATATTGTTTCAGAAAAAATATTTGTGTTATATGGATAGCTGGCTTACCCTTAGTAATGGACCCAAAAGCTTTCCAGGAACTGAACAAAGCTGGTGGAGCAGAATCAGTACTTGAGGACTGTGCCGCGCCAGCTCGACCAGGTTTGGTGAGTCTGAGAGGGGGCGGTGAAAGATGGAGAAAAGACAGGCAGAAGAAGAAAGCTGGGTCTGGGTGGACATTGTCCTCTCTGATGGAGCGCTAACAACAGCGCCACACCCTGAAAGCTGTGTCTTCATTTTATAGCCAGATTCCAGGAGGCAAAGGAAGGGCGTGGTCAAGATGTTTACAACATTCTCTCGTGCTTTTCAAATCTACTCAGTTACATGCACCTGAACTCTATCAAGCCCACATCACTCATCGACCTGGGACCACAGGTTCAGACCGTAGGTCAAGCTTACCACCATAGCCTTGGGCTATAATTGTGCTGGGAGAGCTTTGCCCTCCAAGCTGGGACTTGCACGTGGCTTTGCCATGAGAGGACCATGCCCTCTCATTAGTCCAAAGCTTGAACCTGTCCAAACACTATAGTCACTCTCCACAGAGAACAGTGTTTTATTGGGAAGTTACTGGAGTTTTTAATAAACATGAAACCAGTGGGATCAATTTTCTTAAAAGGAAGATGGTCTAAGATGCATATTCACAACAGGCACTCTTGTAAGCAGCGATAGTTTCACTTAAGTTTATTTTGCAAGTAAGTATGTTTCCAGAAAGAGGATGTCATTTAGAGTGAGAGTTTTAAAAAAAAATATTGAATGCTGACTGTGCAAGCCACGTCCCGAGTGGTTCAGGGTTCGGGATCTGGAGAAGGGCCGCATGCAAATGACAGAGACAAGACGACATAATAATTTGGAAATATTGGGGGCTAGGCAGGAAGCCCAACGCAAGGGGAAGGACTTCCACAGGTGGCCAGGCCTTGCCAACCTTTTCTTCAATTTTGGATGCACATATAGCCCTTAGGCAGGCAATTCCGGTAACAGACAGAGTATCTTGAAGGTCAGTAAGTATTAGTAAAGATTTACTCTGCAACTAAATAATTGGAGCATAGCTCTGGCCCTTGCCAGGGCTCAAGGTTCTCCAGCGTTCCGGGCTTCTTGTTTACACTTCTCTGATAGTGAAGACAATGGGTAGCCTCCAACAGCTGACTACGTGACCAAATGGACTGTCTTGAAGACTGAGGAAGCATTTGTGAGGTAGTCCAGGAAGGTCAAAGGGTCACAGAAGGCAACCTAAAAGAGCTCCCACTGGCCAAAGCAATGTGGACAACACAATAATGTACTGTTGGGTTATAATTCAATAAAATAGATATCCTTAGGTCTATACTGTTATAAATGATTGAATCGATAAAGAAATGAGAGCAAAAAGACAACTCTTCCTCACAAAAGAATTCCAAACTCTTCATGTAGACACAACCCACTCCAGGAAGTGGCGAGAATCCTCCCCCACCTTGCCCTCTGGAGTGTGGGTTACACATAATGACTTGCTCCCAAGGAGTAGAGCATGGGAAGGGAAAAAAGTAGTTTTATAGCAGAGAAACCTGTGAAACACTTCCTTGGCCAGATAATTGTGAACATCATCAGTGATCAGTCACGTTAATAGCGTGTATGAAGTGGTGAGAAGGTCACTTCACCTCTTGTTCTTCTTTCCTAAAGAATGTTACATGTCTAGGATCAGACATTTTGAAATCCTCTAGTTCAAACTACTGATAACCCAAACTACAGGTGAGGAAATTGCCTCTTAAAAATATTAAGTGACTATTCCAAAATCACAGATACTTAATTGCTTTTCCCCGCCTAATATACTGAATTATCTCCCTTTCCTGCACTTCCTTCTCATTTTTAAAAATATATATTTTATTGATTTTTTTACAGAGAGGAAGGGAGAGGGATAGAGAATTAGAAACATCGATGGGAGAGAAACATTGGTCAGCTGCCTCCTGCACACCTCCCACTGGGGATGTGCCCAAGGGACCTTTTAGTCCAAAGGTAGACGCTCTAGCCACTGAGCCAAACCAGTTAGGGCCACTTCCTTCCTATTACTGAAGCAATTTATAATCCAAAATAGTGTCATAAAATTGTAGAAATGAAACTTTCCAATCACACTAAAGCAGTAGTTCTCAACCTTGGCTGCGCATTAGAATCACCTGGGAATCTTTTTGAAATCCTGATTTCTGGGCCTCATCATTAGTAACAAAGAAACAGAATATCCGGAGGATGAGGCCCAGAAATCAGGATTTCAAAAAGATTCCCAGGTGATTCTAATGTGCAGCCAAGGTTGAGAACCACTGCACTAAAGGGGTGCTGAGTGCTCTTCACCACCAATCAGGAACCTCCACTGGAAGCTTGCTCCTGATTGGTGAAGGCCCGCTGTAACTATAGAATGCGGAGGAGTAAACAAAAAGCATACCAACAGCCGAGTTTGCGGTCTCACTCTCCTCAGCCTAGGCCAACCTGGACGCCTTCATCCCAGATGAGGTGGCCCCTGCATTTTTTATGAAGGCTCTGATTTTCCGTTGAACCGTGATCTGTCTTACAGCATGGCAGTCCAATACAGACAGGAAGATGAAACTGAGCAACACAGCTAAAATAAAGCGTATTCCCAGGTAGGACAGACAAATGCTGTGGTGTGAAATGGATTATTAGCCTGAGATTCAGGCTGATTATTAGGATTATTAGATGAGATTCAGATACAGGGCAATAGGAAGGTACTAGAGCACAAGAACTCTACCTATGGGCAGTGTCACCAAATCCTACTAGTGGCAGCAGCTGTGGTGGGTGAGGTGACCCGTTGCAGCAGGTAAACTCAGAGAGAGGATGTGCGGAGAGCTCTCATCATTAATCCCCTGCTGTGGAGACAGGCATGGAGGATGGTTGTGCTGCTTCTCATAGCTACAGAGGGCCCTGGTTTCCTAAGAAGGAATATTCACCACCAGGGCTGGTCGTTTGGGGCCCTGCCCCTAGAAATGTGGGGAGGTTGCTTTTCCTGAGTGCCAAGTGGGGATGGGAGTGTCTTTTCAAATTTTTCTGGAGGAAGATATTTCTATCTTATTTTTTATGTTCCTTCACAGAATACACGTGCAAACAGGATGCAGTTGACCAGTGAGAAGCTGCCCGAGGACCCCCTCTCTACCTCTCTATCCCAGGATGCTGCCAGGAACTACAGCTTCTTCCAATGGACAAAGGACAAGACTGGTACAAATTCTGATAATATTTTCACTAAAAGTTCATCTGTACACCAGAGAAAAAAGAGACAAGAAATATGAGTCTTACTGTTGTCAAGGAGGGGGTGAACTTACAGCCCTTCGTAGCTTTCCTGTGGGAATATGCGAAATTGCGATTTCACGCATCTGGTAGCAGATCATCAGCGGGGAGGCTTCACGGAGCCCGAGCCTGAGTTTACATTCAGGGGTTTAGGACCCTCGTCTGGAAAAGGGAAGCCAGATGGCTTGTCTGTTAAGGAGGACAATGCCATACTTTACTTGAAATTGGCCTTTAAAGCCACCATTTTTTTTCTATGGTCTTTTAAAAAATTAAATTGGGGGTGGTTCGCTCATTTGATTAGAATAGCTCTACTTAAGCCTCAGATGAAGAATTTCACTCGCCCATGGATGACTTTGCCCAAAGAATTGCACACAGACTGCTTGCCAGAGCTCCTCCTAGTGGTAAACTGGGTTACTCTGAAAACCAACCAACAGATATTTCTTGATTGTATGAGGCCTGGTGTTAGGGCCCATGATAATACTTTCTCTGTTAGCCAAGGAGGAATGAGAACTAGGAAGGAAACTCGTGTAAAGTGTCAGATGAATTCTGTATAATTGGTGACTTGAAGAGAGAAAATTCATATTGTGTTAAAGTTATAATTCTTTACCTTTCTTAAATCAGACCGTTACAGCCATGCTAATTTGGTGGATCAGGCATTGCAGATCTTGAAGGAAAGAATAGTAAGAGGGGATGCTATGGCCTATTTCCTGCGAGGTCAACTATATTTTGAAGAGGTATCAGTCTTTGTTTATTTGTTTTTATTTCATTTAATGCTGCTGTTAGACCCTCATAGCAAAATATCTCCTACAGTTCCTTCCTTTGTAATATCAGGGAAATTCTGTCTAATTCCACAGACTATGGTTGTGGCTTCAAGTGTGATATGCTGGTATCAGTTTAAGGAGCTATCTGGGCTTTCTCCATAAAGACATTCTAATGAAAGTCATTTATAGGAGACATCCTATATAATAAAAGGGCAATATGTAAATCAACCGAACAGCAGAACTACTGGTCGCTATAATGTACACTGACCACCAGGGGGCAGATGCTCAATGCAGGAGCTGCCCCCAGCCCGCAGGCTCTGATCAACCAATCAGGGCCTGCCAGCCAACCTCTTGGTCCCTTCCCTGGGCCAGCAGGCTCCGATTGGCAAACGGGAATCCAGGGGTGGGTGGCAGCAGGGGGTGGTGCTGGCTGCCAGCAGCCAGGGAAGATGGCCCTGATCGCAGGGTAGGCCTAGGGACCGTACCCATGCACGAATTTCATGTGCCAGGCCTCTAGTTTGGGTATAAAATTAAAAATCTAATGTTTACATTTTTGCCTAAAATATTTAATATCATCTAAAATATTTTCACTCCATTGTCAGTAATATAGCTTTAGTTCTTCACTGAGCCTGAGGGAAGGTGTGAAAGGGACCAGCTGTCTCTAATCCCTCAGCATCCATTGAATATTTGGGCAGCTATTCACCTATAACCCACTTACTCTCTCTTCTTTTGATGGCTCCTTCATTCATTCTGGCAACAAGTATTTGTTGAGGACCAGTCATGCCCCTGTAACTGAGAATAGCACAACATAATGGTTAAGTGAAGGATCTCTTAGCTTTGCACATAGGTTTGAATATGGCTCTATTGCTTTTTTTTAAAAAAAATTGTTTTATTGCTTAAGGTATTACAAGGAGTACTACATATGTCTCCTTTTTTTTTCTCCTCTGCTCCTTGACCTTCCCCTGGCTTCCCCTACCCCCCAGTGTCTTGTGTCCATTGGTTATGCTTATATGCATGCATACAAGTCCTTCGGTTGATCTCTTAAACCGGCTCTATTGCTTTTTAATTGCTTATCCTTGGGCACAAATCCTTAACCTCTTGGTGCCTCAGTTTTCTCATCTGTAAAAGGGGGGTAATAATGTGTGTTTCATAGAACTATTGTGAGGATGTATTAATTGTAAAACAGCGCCTGGCACCTAATAAGTGCTTCATAAGGCTTCACTAGTATGTGCTATAAAATGAAGAGGGAATCAGAATGGCCCCCATTTCACAAAGGTTACCGTCCAGAAGGGGAAGAAAATGAATATATGTATAATTAAAAATAAGGAAGAGTACTAGGAAAGGAATTAACTGTGTACAACAATAAAGAATAACTTAGGCATAGGGTAGAAAGACCTGTTGTTGAAACTAACATTTGCAGAAGAGGAAACACAATGCAAACAGCCAGTGGAGTGTGTTCCAGAGAGAGAACAAGTAACACATTTCGTCGATGAGAAAGTTTTGAGATCTAAAGGAGACCAGTGTGGAATAAGCAAGGCAGAGATGGCTCCAGAGGAGCATTGCTTAAAACGTAGTAAGAAGCCATTGGAGGGTTTTCAGTGTGTGGTGAACGGATTAGAAAGCAGGCATGGAACTAGTTCAGGGTGAAATTACACTAGTTCAGGCAAGAGAGGTTGGTAATCTTGACCAGAGTTGTAGCAGTGGAGATGGGTCCTGGATTTATTCTGGAGACACAGACAGTGGCATAATGGCCTGCAAAACAGAGACTGGGGAAGAGTGAGTATTGAGGCGATGACCAAGAGGTCAGTTTTTGGACATGTTACGTTTAAAATGCCCATTAGTCATCCAAGTAGACAGATTTCAAAGTAGAAACTTACATGTTCTCGAAGGAGAAGTTTGGGTTGAAAGTGTTTATTTGAGAACTTCCAGCGGTATATGGTATTTAAAATAATGGAAACTGAAAGAACTTTCTTACTTTCCTTTGCATAGTCTAACTTCTCCAGCCCTGTCACATCTAAGCCCAACATTAGCCAGAAAGGAAAATTAGTCTTAACAGCTCAGTCATTTACTCACTGATACGTACTCTTTAAAATAAATAAATATTTATTAGGATTTTGGGGTAGTTTTTGTTTTATCAATTGGTTGATTAATGACAGTTTATGAAAAGAGAAATTTAATTATTTTTGTGTTTTCCAAAAGCTGTTTTTCTCTGGCCTGCTCTTCCTAATAATGACCTTCAATTCAGTAAAAGACTCTCTTTCTACCACTACAAATGATTCATTCTTTAGTGTGAGGCGTTTTCATGGTGGATTAAAAAATATAAAATCCCATATGAGTCCCTCACACCATAGCATGTTTGTTACCAGATTTGTCTAACTGCCAAGGAGCCTTACAGTGATGATACAGAACATGTGGGTTTTTGTAGGAAGTATGGGAGGAAGTTAATTTTCGAGAATCACATGCTTGTTTTTCCATGTCTTCTCAGCTGGAAAACCGCAAAACTGAAGGACATGAACCATAATAATAGTGGATGTTTAATAACAGCCAATGTCCTTCATAAGGATATTCACTACTATTAAAAAAATAGATGAAGCCAAGGTAGCAGAATGTTATTACAAGAATTTATGTGGCAGTTATGCAAATTTTTATTGTATATTCTCAAGTGATAGCCTGTACTGTCCCTTCTTGACCTACCCGCAGGGTACGTCAGCATAATGTGGACAGAGGGCAGTTCCCTCCTTACTCTGTGTAGAGCAGCGGCCGCCAACCTTTCGGACCTCATGGACCATCGGTTGGCGACCTCTGGTGTAGAGGAACATATAAACTACCCTTAAGTATAAGGTAAGAATCAGGGTCATCAGTTACTATGAACATGAAAATGTTTTATAGATAATATTAAATATTTGGGGCAAAAATATAAACAGATTTTTAATTTATAGTGTAAGAATAGATTTTATACTACAACTAGAGGCCCAGTGCACGAAATTCGTGCAGGGGGAGGGTGGGTCCCTCAGCCTGACCTGCGCCCTCTCCAATCTGGGAGCCCTCGGGGGATGTCCTACTGACGGCTTAGGCCCACTCCCCGTGGTTCTCTGCTCTCTGTTTACTTGCCTGCCTGTCTTATCTCTGGCTCGCCTCTGTGGCCAGGGGCAAGCAGGGCCCTGGTGTCTGCTCGCTGCGGGGCCTGCTGTTTGCTCTCTGTCTCGCCGCTGTGGCCAGAGGCAAGCAAGGCCCTGGTGTCTGCTCTCGGTGAGGGGTAAGCAGGGCTGACAGGACCGGACATGCCAGCAGTAAGGCTGAGGGGATTGGGTACCGCCATCTTGTGGCTATGTGCGCCACCATCTTTGTGGCGGAGTGACAATTAATTTGCATATTACCCTTTTATTAGATAGGATGTCTCAAATCTTCTCTGAGGCTTTGGTCCCAGCTCTGATATTTCTCAGACTTCAGGAGTGGTGGGGGAGGTGGCAGGCTAGATTGAGCAGTCAGCTAAGCTGTCATTTCAAGAGAGGATTGGCAATAGGCAAGAGTAAGAGTGAAAGCCAGACTCTTACCTAAATTCCTACTGGTCACTTCCCTCAGTTGCCATGTTTAGGTCTATTTAATTGACTTTATAGTGTGTTGACTGTTGTCAGTGACTTAACTTGCAAAGTCCATAAATTTGTGGCTGTCTTTTCTTGGTTTATTTGGTGCTACTGGCTAGATTTGGGTGGGAATTAAATGACTGGGATTACTTTAAGATAATAATAATTCAGCATTTCCTGTGAGCTTGCAGGGATGGTATGAAGAAGCACTAGAACAGTTTGAAGAAATCAAGGACCATGATCATCAAGCAATTTACCAGCTGGGCGTAATGTATTATGATGGGCTGGGGACAGCTGTAAAAGCTGTAAGTTATTGATTTGTTCGCAGTGTTTAAGATTTCATTGTTAATGGATTATGTGATACAATTGAAATTATTCACATTTTAATCATACATTTCTATCCTTATAGTTCAGTAATCTCTAACCTTTTAGTATTCAAAGGATAGCACTAGTCATTTTTCATTTGTGTGAAAAACAAAATTTCTTTTTTGCTCCTTCTTCTTGCTACCATTAGATGCCAATAATTTTCTCTTTTAATATGCTTTTCTGTATTTTCAAAGCTACACAAACATGGAAAAAAAAATCTAGAAAATAAGCAAAAAATAGGATCATTCCAAATTCTGCGGTCAAATATAAACATTGTTATTATTTTAAATTATGTGCTATTATGAATTGCCCCATGCAATAAATTTGTATATATAAATTTTATATAACATTATTTAGAAGTGACACATCTGGTATTTGTACAGAAGAACTTCTCTTGTAAAGCATACTGAAATATTTAGGTGTGAACTGTACTGATATTTACATCTGCAGATAACTTGAAACAAAGCAAAAAAATAGAAGCAAATATAGCAAAATATTACTGATGATTTATATGGTAGTTATACAAATTTTTGTTGTATATCTTTTCTACTTTTCTGTATGTTTAAAAATTTTATATAAAAAGAAAGAAACTCATAATTATTGCAGCCATCAGACAAATGTAATTAATCTAAATTTCCTTGTTGAGAGTAAATATGTACTTAAGAAAATGACATGTATTTTTTTAGTGCATCAACAAAGATGTTCAAAGAAGCATAGAAACACATTAAAACTTAGTGTAGAAATTATAATCCCATAGCAATAAAGCTCTCTTTAATATGAAAATCATAATTCAGAGCCTATGTGTGGCAGATGTCATAGCATCAGACCACATGAAGGAAATGTGCTAAAAAATAAGTTTACAAAATATTAAATTTAATTTCTAGACATGATAGATAATAGTCAGTATATAATAGGTAAGTTTTATAAACTATGCAGCATCCACACCATAAAATTCCTAACATGAAATTTTAAGACTCCTTGTTTGAGATACCAAAATTGAAAATATACTAGGCATATATGTTTGAGCACAAAGGAAATCATATTAAACAATGCTCCCACCCAAAAAAAATAAGTTATGTGATGACAATTTCACTCATTCCTTAAGATTTAAATAATCAGAGCTTCAAATTGATCTAAAATATTCAGGTTTATGTTCTCACAGTCACTTCTGCTTTTCTTCTTCTTTCCAGATTTTTAATCTATACTCTTCATCTTTGTGGCCGTACCATTATCTCTGCCTTGGCATAGGTCACTGCCTGTTGTCTTTGATGACTTCATAAAACAGGATTGCGCTTGTAGCATTGCTTCTAACATGGAGGACCACACTGGATCCCACATAGTGAACAACTTGAACTTGCTCATCAGTCATTTCAGTTGCCATCTATCGAGCACCTCTCACTGGCTGCCCCACCTCACAGGATTCTTCAACTTGCTGAGGTCTCTTCCTCCCTGACCCTTTCCCCTTTCTGTGTCTTCTCCCTTAACCCCCTCCTTTGCTGATCCCCAAATGAATTTATCCCATTTTCTCACACAACGTCGTTTAGTCACCTCTTCGTCTGCCTTCCTTTCATTCAGGTCACTGTTCCATGCACTTCCTCCGCAAGGTTTTCTGTGGCCATTCTTCAAAGACTTGATGATGGTCTCCGTTGTTACTGCTTAACTTCCTTCTCCCTATTGGAATGTAAGCTCCTTAAAATTAGGCGGTTTTGTCTGTTTCCTCACTGCCGAATGCCCCAGGATTTACACCAGTGTCCGACCCACAGCAGAGCCTCCAGTGTTGACTGATTAACCGTGGCCCTGTGTTGGCAATGCTGCTCTCAGGGTATCGCCTCAGGGGCTTTTCAGAGAACTCTCCAAGAAAAGTTATGGTGGCAGCTGTTAGGATAAGAAAATATTTGCCTTTGTCAGAAACAAAATCAATACCCATTAAAAGAATATAATAACCAAGTAAGATTTAGCCCAGAAATTTAATAATTTGTTGATAAGAAAATCTATGAATATAATATACCGCTTGAATAGCCTGAATAAAAGAAATCATATGATGGTTTTAGCATATTGAAAGTTCCATAAAACTCAATATTTATTCATAATAAAAATTTAAAAATTTTAAAAAACAGTACTAGGAAGTATTTCCTTAAAACTTCTGCTCTTGTCCCTAATTCATTCATACAGCCGCCAAAGCCATCTTTTCAAAATTCAAATCTGATCATGTCCTGTCCGTCCTTATAAACTTTTACAGGCTTCCATGTTGAAGATGAAAGGGGCATAATTGGGCCTGTTCCCATGGACAGCCAGCTAGTTGGCCATTTACTTGGTGAAGTCTTTAGTTTCCAAACCAGTAACTGCCATTCCAAACCCTCACCAGGGATCCTGTCGCCTGGCCACTGCCATCAGTGGGCTTCACTGGGCCTCGAGAGGCCAGAGCACATGTCTCCATCTGAACTTGGTAGCGGAATGCCACGTGGAACCTTGACTTCGCTAGGTCTGCCAGGCTTCCCAGCTTTATCATATTGGCCACCACACAGAAATGTGTGCCTCTCTGGTCATCTGTCTTCTTACCTGCTCTTGACTCCATATTGCTTGCCCTCTCCCTCTCCCAGCTGCCTTACAGCTGGCAAGTAGAGGCCCCCAGATCCTCAGCCTTTCTTCAGGCTACTTTCTTCATTTCCTTCCTTTATCAGAAACGTGGTTGTCCCACAGGCAGCCCTCTAGTAGAGAACCCTCCCTCCTTCATCCCAGTGTACCGGAGTGCTCAAAGGTGGAGCTGGCATTATTTCCATTCCCCAGCTCACTTTCCACCCCAGCACAAAGTACCTACTTTTACGTTCAGACCAGCTCATTGCTTTTCTAGTTCTATCCATTTCTTGGCTGTTGGTCATTCCCTAACATGAACCTGAAGACTGGCTCTGGGATTAGTTTTCCTCCCCGTATGGTCCCATCGTTTTATCTGACACCTAAACTAAGAACTGAGCAGTAAGAAGGAGCAACCATGTAAGGCTACCAATGGGAGGGTTTACCACCACTTCACTTGGCTACCATTAAGTCCTTGCTATCCAGGTGGAGGAGAAATGGTAGATACCTACCTCATGCACTCACAAAAATAAATCCATATAACCTGGGGCTCACGAAAAGTAAAACACCTTTATTTTCTCATCTACTGTGGTACGTAGATAGCAACAGCACTTGGAGAAAGCAGTGAGGGATATTGCAATATATAAACACATATTTGATCGTCAAGTATTATTTTTTTGGCAGTGTTTCAAGGCTTGCGTGTGATGGCTGTTTGGAGGGTGAAAGCTGTGTTGGTGGGCAGGCGGTCTCCTGTGCACTCTGTGACTATGTGGATGTCTTAGGAACATTAGCACATTGGAGGTACATTATCACTGGCACACTTAGGGAACAGTGTGCTCGGAGAGAGAAGACAGCATTTGTTTGGGCCTCACGTATCCTGTGAGAATTACAAACGTGAGAGAAGTCACAGCTGTTTTTGCACTTTGATCCATTCCAAGAACTGTGCTGATTCCGAATAAGGCCTAGAAGCGGAGGGAGGAGAGGAAATTGGAAACCATATTGAAATGTAATGCAAGTCTGGAAGCTGTGAAGTGAGGGAACTGCCTTATATCCCAGAGCTCCCAGGATGCCTTTCCAGGCGATGGCCTTTACTTCTTTCCTTATTTCTAGCCCTTCACACCCCAGGACAACACACCGCGTGGGCACAGAGTCAGGAATTATATCATGTCAGAGGGTGAATGCTTTACAACATTATTGGGAGAAAGAATTTAGTTTGGGTAAAACTAAAATCTGGGGTTTTTTGTTTGTTCTTTTCCTTTGTGGAAGGAAAAAGGAGTGGAATATATGAAGAAAATAGTTGATTCTCCATGTCCCAAAGCAAGACACTTACAATTTGCAGCTGCTTACAACCTTGGAAGAGCTTATTACGAAGGAAAAGGCATTAACCGATCAATTGAGGACGCTGAGAGGTACTTACCTGAGAATGAGTGTTGGTCTTAATCATATGCTGAAACAGACAACCACTTGCCTTGTCTTTCCCTTCCAGACTTTGGCTCTTTGCTGCGGACAATGGGAATCCAAAAGCCAGTGTGAAGGCTCAAAGTATGCTAGGGTTGTATTATTCAACGAAGGAACCCAAAGAGCTAGAAAAGGTAACGCTGATCTGTTTAAATGTTAGCTAGAATTCTATTTAGATTGTCTCACTATTTTTCTTTTAAAAGAGGGAGATAAGGAATACGGTTTTGAATCTCTCTGACATTTCTTTAAAATGTAAAGAATGTAAATTTTAAGATCTCAAAGCTCATTCCATCCTTTACTCATCTATGAGTGCCACCTTCCCTGCCTCTACCAAAGGGGACCCTGGATGTGAGAGAACTGGTATGCTATAAAAGCTACACAGACAAACTTACTCCATGAGAGCTTCCGTAGAGTCCTGAAATAAAGCCCAAATCCTTTTCAGTGTGAATAAATGATGACGTTCGATTTGAGGAACAATGATACTAGTAAGTAAAATATACTAAGAACTAATTGAAAATTAAATCCATTTAAGATTTTTATGGAATTATAATTTCTCTCGTCACCATGACTGAGATATTTTCCAAAAAACCTTATAGGGAAAGGAAATGTAGGGCTGAGTCCTACTTGTAAGAGGCTTTGTGGACAAACTTGTAAGAGGCACAAAACAGTCTAAGACCCTCCTTGGACAACTGAGCAGCCGATTAGCTTTTGAACCAATTCGCATCCATGTAGCTGAGTATTGGTCAGATGTTTCTGGCCCCCATGCAGCCTTTACCCTTGGTTGCCTTTGACCTTCAAAGTCCCATCTAGGCGATCCACCTGAGCTCTGACTTCCTGAGCGTCAACAGCTGTCCCTCCCCGCGGTGTCTACTAGCAGGTTTGTCTCAAAGCCCTGCAGACACCATTCCAGTTTCCCACCTTCTGGATCCTTCCGGTGGAAAATCTGAAAATCCTGAAACCCAAGACAGCCGAACTCACCTGCACTGTCGTCAGGCGGGCTCACCTTACACACTTTCTCTCTAAGGCGTGAAATTGATGCTAGCCTGAAATACCTTGAAGGGGCTAGAACTATTTCCTAGAGATGGATTAACAGTACTATCTTATCATTAGAGACTTTTTTCTTTCTGGTATTCCCTTGTAATTTCACCTTGTGAGTAACAAGACAAAACTGCTTTTGTAAAGGCATTTTATTGGCATTCAGAAGCATGCGGCAATGGGAACCTGGAATCCCAAGGTGCCCTGGGGCTCATGTACTTCTACGGACATGGCATCCAACAGGACACGGAGGCTGCCCTGTACTGCTTGCGGGAAGCCGCGGAGCGTGGAAATGTCTACGCGCAAGGGAACCTCGTGGAGTATTACTACAACATGAAGTTCTTTACAAAGTGCGTCGCCTTTTCCAAAAGGTAAACAAGCTGGGTGAAGGTGTTCTCAGAAACACCGGCTGCATGTTCTGTGCCAGGTGTGTTCGCAGGACTTGCTGCAATACTGTAAATGATGGCTGTTGAGGGCTGGAAATGTGGCCAGTGCAACTGAGGTCTGAACTTGTAATTTCATTGGATTTTAATTAAGTAGCCCCATATCGGATAGTACAATTCTGTACCATTGGTTTTCAGGATTTCAGTGGTATTCGCTCTGTACACCAGCTGAGTGAGTTCAGCAAGTTTCTTAACTTTTGGGGGGTATCATTCGCTTTATTTATAAGAAAAACATACTTCTGCAGGATTGTAAAAAGATTGCATATAAAGTACTTAACATGGCTTGGCACAGTAGAAATGTATATTAAATATTCATTTCTTCCTGCATCCTTAGCCACAGGTTCTCTAAATACGTAATTGAAATATAGCTTGATTAGGGCTGTAAAAAAAGAATAATGGTTAAAAGACTCCCAACACATACATCTGATAAAATATTTGGAAATTTCCATAAAACATGGAACTTTCTTTTTTGTGAGCCCATGTATTTTCCTACATTTACTTACCCAGCATGTACAAAAGCAACACACACACCAGGAAAAACAGCTGTGGCTGTCCCCTGGAGTGGCACAGGCCCATGTTGATGCATTTCCCTCCAATAATGCCCCTATGGAACCCGCGGCTCCTTCCCTCCCAGCCCCCCGGGAGGCAGCCACGACAATGGGGGATGAATCTGCTGCTTCTACCCTCACCTCCCAACATCTTGGCTTCCAGACAGCAGGTCACGTAAAGGTGTGATCACCAATGTCCCAAATCCCCAAGTGCCCATTTGATTAAAATGAAGATTTTACAAAGTTCTTAAAATCTTTGAAACTTCACATTATTGTCTACATTCCTATTCTCCATACCATTAGGGTTAACGTGATTAGATCTCATTTTCACACAATTCTCCATATCTGTGTCTGGGTTACACAGAATGAATTTTTTTTTTAAACAGCAGCACAAGCAGGCGGTCCCCTTATATTTTTAAATATCTTTTTATTGATTTCAGAGAGGGAGAGATAGAAACATCAATGATGAGAGAGAATCATTGATCAGCTGCCTCCTGCACGCCCCCTACTGGGGATTAAACCCGCATCTTGGGCATGTGTCCGTGACCGAAATCGAACCCAGACCCTTTAGTCCACAGATTGGCCCTCTATCCACTGAGCCAAACTGGCTAGGGCTATATTTTGTTGTTGTTAATCCTCACCCAAGGATATATTCCCATTGATTTTTAGGGAGAGTGGAAGGGAGAGAGAGAGACAGAAACAGCCACGTGAGAGACACATCGATTGGTTGTCTTCCGCACCGCCCTCCGCACCCCCTCAAACCACCCCCCACCACCACCACCAGGGCCAGGGATTGAGCCTGCAACCCAGGCATGTGCCCTTGACTGGAATCGAAGCTGGGACTCTCAGTCCACAGGCCGTCGCTCTATCCACTGAGCCAAACCAGCTGGGCCAGAATGAATTGTTTTTATTGACCATTTTTAACCAAAGATAGATGTGCAAGTTTTTTTTAATGTGCTTTCTGGTCTTATGTGAGTCAAGTCCAAATTTAAGGTCCATGTTTAAATACATGATCCAAAGAAATAGAAAGTACTTTTTTTCCCCCCACTGTTGAAATCTACAGTGATGTTAAGTTGAAAATATTAACATTATAAGGAAACAACCTTTCTTTTCCGTTCTAGTCATTTTCTAGGTTATTGAGCCCAAGGAGAGCAATCACGGGGAAGCTGTAAAGCAGTCACTCTTCCCGGTATTAACTGTGTTGTTCCCCTTTCACTGCACAACAGCTTTGTTAAACAGGTAGAAATGGGGAAATCATTTCAGACACAAGGACAATGTGTGGACATGTTGCTTGTGAAAATGTAAACCATAACTGACATCCTCTTTATTTCACAACTTACGTCCTCACAGGGTTGCCGACTACGATGAGCAGCAAGACATCCCGACGATAGCCCAGGTCACGGACTGTCTCCCGGAGTTCATCAGCAGGGGCATGGCCATGGCCTCCTTCTACCATGCCCGGTGCCTGCAGCTTGGCTTGGGGACCACAAAGGATGAAGCAGCCGCTAAACAATATTATTCTAAAGTAAGTGAGCCCACGAACAAGCATAAATGACTCCGAGGCTGCTTTTATGGATTAGTGTTCTTTCCTCCTTAGTTATTGTAGAGATCATCTCTGTCTATGGAGAGGCTGTCAGACATGCAGCCAAGCATGTCAGACTCACGGTTGGCGGGCCACATGCCTTATTGAAGTAAACGAGGCATATAGCCCGCTGGCCACGAGTTTGACATGATGGTTAGATGATCCTGTCAGATTCTTAGCGTGATTAGAAGTCCTGTATTATTCTCTCTCACGCTGATGCTTTCAGGCCAGCACTAAGACCTCAAAGCCAGAATATTCATGCCTTCTTTCACCCAGAAAAAAGGGTGAGCCTGTATCCTCGTTCTAGTACCTTAATGAAATGTAGTTTTTCAAGAAAGTTTTGTATACATGACATCTTCCACTCTGAGGTGAGGAGGAATATTCATGCGTCTGCAGCAGTCAGTTAAAATAAGCCTTTTCATGTTTTAATCCATGTGATTTAGTCAAATTCCAACAGATTTCAGGTCTGAAAATCTAACAGCTGTTAAAAGAGGGGAGGGGTGAGTGAGGGGTGGTAATAAAGAGTAACTATATTTTTTCATATAAAGAAAAGACAGCCCTGGCTGGTGAGGCTCATTTGGTTCGAGCATCATCCTGTACACCAAAAGGTTTTGCATTCGATTCCCAGTCAAGACACATACCCGAGTTGTGGGTTCAAGCCCCAATTGGGGTGCATACAGGAGGTAACCGATGGATGTTCACTTGTCTGTGTTTTGAAATCACTAGGGGTCTTTCAAAAATTCCAAAGCCCAGGCCTCATTTCAGAGCAACTCAATCTCAGTCCCCGGAAGTGGGGCACTATGTACTGAAGCGCCTCAGGATGCCAGTGTTTTGGAAATCCTGGCAGGCATGTTTGCGAACCCTAAATTATGTAGACATACAATACACAAATACAACCAACCTTTGAGATATTTATCACTACATCATTCTGTTAGTGTGAATAATAGTTGTCTTTTCAAAAATCTGAATGTTCGCTGTATTATACCGATTTCCACACCAAGTCAATTTCAGAGTGCATGCTGTCCTTAGTATCTTTTCTAAATAAATATAAGCTGAGACAACGCTGGGTCCAAACAGCTTGCAACCCTCGAACGATTTTCCACGTGGTGGGAGATAATGTCCCTGTTACTCAATTGTGACCGTTGTATTTTATGGGAGATACTTGAACATGGAGAACGTGCAGGTGTCGGAAGCCAGAGAGGGTCGGGAATCCTGTCATATGAAGCATGACCAGAGAGACTTCCATTCAGAGGAGAGGACGGAGGGGTCCTGAGCGTGGTCCTCCTGACTGAAGGGCTGTCCTGTAGAAAAGGAACGGGGCGGGGGCAGAGTTCTAGCCCCTGCAGTGCACCGAGGGAAAAGCTATGGCCACAGATGGTGCAGGGACAGGGCTACAGTCAGGAGACCAGGCCTGCCGCCTCCTCCACCTCAGGGCTTCTGTGAAACCAGCACTGTACCTTCTCCTGAGACCTTCGACGACTGCAGCACGGGGGGCGGTGGGGGGGGGGGGGATTTTAGCTTAATATAAAGAACAACCTTCTCATACGACTGTTGAGGAAATGATAACAGTTTTTCCTATAAAGTGGATGCTTCTTGCCACTAGAAGCAACCAAGCAAGTATCTAGTGACCAGCTGTCATGGGTCTTGAAGGGACGGTTTCTGCATGGAGTGAGGACAGGATGAGATCACCTCTGACGTCGCATCCCAGTTCGTCACATCCTATGAAATTATGCACTATTATGTATCAGTATTTACTTTAGTCATAATAGACTATATTCTTTAAAATCATTTATAGATGCTGCTGTTCATATAATGAGGTAACCATTTTGAGGCTAAAGGTTCATGCTTTCCATATTACTTAATTGTAAGACTGCATATCATAGAAATGCTGTTATTATCAGAACATAAATTTCCTTTATTCTTCACACAGAAAATTTTCTCTTTTTCAGATGATAAGAGCATGGGTACTTTTAGTATGTTTTTTTTCTTTTTTAACATACGCTACTTTGAACTTCCCTAATTAAGAAATCAGAACAGATGTGTATCGTAATTAAGAAACTCCCTTGAGCCCTAGCCCGTTTGGCTCAGTGGCTAGAGCATAGGCCCGTGGACTGAAGGATTCTGGGTTCAGTTCCAGTCAAGGGCACATGCCTGGGTTGCAGGCTCTTGATCCCCATGAGGGAAAGTGCACGAGGCAGCCGATCAATCATTCTCTCTCATCATTGATGTTTCTATCTCTCTCTCCCTCTCTCTTCCTCTCTGAAATCAATAAAAAAAAAACCCTCCCTTGAAATTCATTGTATTTTACTATTCTTAAAAACAAACCAAAAGTTGTTAAGGAAGAAAGACCCAATAATTCAAAATGTATTTAAATAAGTGACTCTTTGTCTTTTATTTTAAGGCTTGTCGTCTGGATCCTGCATTGGCAGATGAACTTCACTCTTTACTTATTCACCAAAGAATTTAGACCATAGTGCATTTCAACAAAGATCATGTGTCCTCATACCTTCAAATGTATGTATTTTGATAACAGCTACATCTGGTTATTTCCTGCATCTCAAGTTACATTATCTTGGTTTTTTTCCTGATTGCATGTTACTTTCGTTCTTGAATTTGTATTTCATAACTTTGCAATTTGAAATGCAGCTATAAGCTCAGATTGCTGGATGAGTCCTCAGAAATCCAGCTCTTAGCCTCTGGACTGGCCTACACCAACCACACCAAATACCGAAAACCATTCCACAAAACAACTACCTTCAGTGTCCCAAAAGACTGAGTGCAGCCTTAGTTTTAATAACTTCAGAAGTATAAATGCTACCACTTATAAAATTTTATATATGAATTTTGAATAACTTTGTCATTTTAACTTATTTAAATGTTTTAATTTAAAACTCACAAAAATATATAATAAAAAAGAAATTTAAAGGAACTTTCAAATAATGTGTGTGTTTATTTTAATTTGTGTAGCACTTAAGCTTCTGAAGTTATTAAAGCTAAGACTGCATTGAGTCTTCTGGGACATCTTATATTCTCAAGAGATTCTTATAAATAATTAACTTGGATGATTTATGACAAACTTTAAAAACAGTGGGTTTAAGAAATTGCTTAGACTCTTGCAACTCCTTATCTTAAATATCTTAATTTAATGAGTGAAAAACTGCTCTATTCTTGCTACGACAATCAAAGCAAGAAGTTTTCTTGGTATTTCATTTTCTACATTTTAAGAAACCTAGATATATTTAAAAGGAAGATGAAATGTGCAAAAAATCCCAGTGAAATCATCAATACAGAACTATAACTAAATATGGTTAAAAATTAAATGAGCTCAAGAGGCTTTCTTTGTATCAGTGACATTAATGAGGGCAAAATTGACTGAAAAATTGTAGAATTCATATGCAGAAGACTGCAGTGGTATACATCTGTGAAACAAGAACACTGAAAACGATGTCTTAAGATGCCTTACTATCTTCTTTGTAAACATTCTAATGTTGCTAATTTTAAAAATCAGGTCCCTTCCTTCCCTCCTCTTCCTCTTCCCTCCTCTTCCTCTTCCCTCCTCTTCCTCTTCCCTACCTCATCCCTGCCCCTCTTCAGTTCAGCTCACATCCCACCTCCTTAATGCATCCTTTCAAGCACTAATTAAGCTCTTCTCATTCACAGCAATCATCATATTTGTCATATACTCATTCTTGTCTGGATAAAGGGCAGCAGACTTTATATTTCCTTGCAGAAGTACTTACATGCACAGGGTTTTCTACAAAAAGGGTGCCAGAAGTGTTGCAATCTCTCTCTTTTTTTTGAGATACAAGTGTCTTAAACATCACAGAGCTCTATGCTTTGTTTTTATATTTTATTGCTTCAAATGCTTCAAACTATGGGAAATCTTTGGTAAAAATAAAGACAAATTTTCACAAGAACTTTACATAAAGGATAGTACAACAATGTTCTTCAATACACATGAATATAGGAATGTTCAAAATCCTCAGTGAGGAAATTAGCTGTACAGTATTCACAGTTCTTCATTTTAAAACAACTTTTCATAAATATTTATATTTCCTAGGTTCTTATCACATTAACAGTTATATTTCAACTTTAAAGTATTTATATTCTTATTAAAATATCCCAATAATTAACAGAAGTGGTTTTTCTGTTGCTACAGCCTCAGTCTGCTTATTTCACATGAAACTGGAGGGAGGTCACTAAAATAAAAATCAGTGTTGTTCTCAGTGAAGCCCTCTGTGGAAAAGAGGAAATGGTTCATGTCTATGATCACAGACATTTCGTGGTGGTTTATTCGTGCAGACTCAAACCTGGCCGGCTCTCAGTGGGTCCCCATGAGCTCTCAGCTCAGGACACAGTTCAATCAGCAGCAATTCCATCAGCACCTGAAACAAGAAAGGAGGAGAAAAGAGGAGGAAACGGTGTTTTCTCTCTAAGTGTTTGCTCAAATATCTATGTACATACAGTTGGAAAAAAGTCTAGTTTTAGGCCTGGGATTATTCTCAATGAACAAGTTACTCAAGGAGATGGAATCCAGTTATTGTGTGGTCTGTTAATCAACACCACCCCATCAGCAGTGTTTACGGTACCACCTGTGATCGATGGCGGCCTGGCAAACAGTTTGCTTGTTGACATAAGAAAACCAAGCAGCACGTCACAGGTCACAAAGGCAGACAGTGTGAGGATGAGAACAATGCACCCACCAGGGGGATGTTTTCCTGTCTTCATGCCACCACGTTTAATAGGCAGACACACGAAGTGAAGCAGAGAAAATGGGGGCAGAGCTACAAGTAATATGAATGATGAAGAATACAGAGATTTTATGTGTGAATAGAGTGTAAAATTAAAGAAATAGCCCTCTGGTGGGCTTTACAGTACTCACATATAACAGATGCTTATTGGCTCTTGTTTCTTGCAGCGCATTGAATATTTTTATTATACCATGACGGGCATTTTGCTGTCCAACAAGGTTCTGAAGCATATCTGAAAAATTAAGTGTAGATGCTACACTGTTATTGATCGCGTGCACAATGCGTAGCTGTTCAGTGAAGGAGATATTACATGATATGTACACAACAAATGAAGGCACTGCCTTGGCCAGTGTGGCACAGTTGGTTAGAGTGTCATCCCAGACACCAAGTACGTCAAACTTGCGGCCCGCAGGCTGCCTGCCTCGTTTATTTGGCCCATCTTAGCCTTTGAGTTTGACATGCTTGCTGTACACCAAAAGGTCGCCAGTACCATTCCCAGTCAGAGCATATACCTAGATTGCAGGTTCAATCCCTGGTCGGGGCATGTATGAGAGGCAATCGATTGATGTCTCCCTCTATACCCCCCTCTCCCTCTCTTTTTTTCCCTCTCTAAAATCAATAAATATATCCCTTATTATAAATAATAAGGGAAGGGAGGGAGGTAGCGAGGGAGGGAAAAGAAAAGAGAAGAGAAAAAAGCCTATGGCTTGAGGAACATGACTGATCAGTTCTTTTCAATGTTTAAAGAGGAAAGATTATTTAGAATTTTTAAACATAAGGCATTTATACACACTATAATTTTAATACAGTGCTACCCAATTAAAAACTAAGTGTTCAAAACACTATACTTTTGCCCTGGCCAGTGTGGCTCAGTGGTAGAGCATTGGCCCATGTACAGAAGAGTGGTGGGTTTGATTCCGGGTCAAGGACATGTACCTGGGTTGCAGGTTTGTTTCATGGCCTTGGTTGGGGTACATGCGGGAGGCAACCAATCAGTGCGTCTCTCTCACATCGATGTTTCTCTCTCTCTCTCTTCCTCTCCCTTCCTCTGCCTAAAAATCAATAAACATGTCCTTGCCGGGACCGGTTTGGCTCAGTGGATAGAGCATTGGCCTGCGGACTGAGGGGTCCCGGGTTCGATTCCGGTCAAGGGCATGTACCCAGTGGGAGATGTGCAGGAGGCAGCTGATCGATGTTTCTCTCTCATCGATGTTTCTGACTATCTCTCTCCCTTCCTCTCTGTAAAAATCAATAAAATATATTTAAAAAAAAGAAAGATGAGCATAATTGATCAGCATATTTAAGGACAAATTTTTCAAGTAGTATCATCCAGAGTCTATAAACAAATGAGCACTTGGAGCATCCAGAATAAAATAAACATGTCCTTGGGTGAGGATTAAAAATAAATAAATAAATGCTCTGTGGCCTGAGGAACATGAATGATCAGTTTTTTCAAATCTTTAAAGAGAAAATAAGATTTAGAATTTTTCAACGTAAGACATTTATACAAACGATGAGAGGCCTGATGCACGAAATTCATGCACGAGGGGAGTCTATTTCTGAAAGGACAGATGATGTCCTCAGCCCAGCCTGTGTCTTCTCATAGTCTGGGACCCCTGGCTCCTCACCACCCACCCGTTCGCTGCTCCTTACTGCTAGGCTCGCTGCTTCTTAGCGCTACTGTGGAGGCAGGAGAGGCTCTTGCCACCACTGCTATTCTTGCCAGCTGTGAGCCAGGCTTCTGGCTGAGCAGCGCTCGGGGGAGCGTACTGACCACCAGGGGGCAGCTCCTGAGTTGAGCAGTGTGCATCATAGCGACCAATTGTTCTGGTCATTCCACTGTAATGGTCGCTTAGGCTTTTATTATATAGACTAGAGGCCCGATGCACTAAGAGTCGTGCAAGAATGGGCCTTCCTCCCCCTGGCTGCCGGCACCGCCTTCGCTCCAGCTAGAGCTGCCTTTCCGCCTTCACTCCAGCCTGGAGCTGCCTTCCTGCCTTCGTTCCAGCCAGAGCCTTCCCACACTGCCCAGAGGCCCGGAGGCTGGGGTGGTGAGGAATGCAAATTAACCCGCCATCTTTGTTGGGTTACTTTACATACTCACTCCTGATTTGCTGGTGGGCATGAAGGTATGGTCAATTTGCATCTTTCCTTTTATTAGTGTAGATCATTTTAATTTTGATACATTGCTACCAAATTAAAAATTAAGCATTCAAAAACTGTACTTTAGTAGAATTTTTAAAGCAACATATTTATTATCTGTTCCAAAACATTCTTCTAGTTTAAGTATCTATATAACCAGTATTGTTCTTATTAAGATTTTCAGTATAATGTCTTAGCAAGGGGCAAGACATGATTTAAAAAGTGTGATTATTTTTCACTGCAAATAGTGTTTCCCGACAGAGCTGAGTGAACCCTCATTAGGCTAACGCTCCCTCTCTCTCTGTGCCTGCAGGTGAGAAGCGGCCTCACCTGGAATGTTTTCTAGCAGCTTCTGCTGGGCTCTCTGCTTTGTTTCCTGGCTTTGTTCTTTGCTTCTGATTTTGGTCGGTGGTGCCAGTTTCCCATTTGGCCAAAAAGCATCCCGGAAAACAGTGATGTAGTACACCAGCATCTGCTCGCTGAAAATCCAGTTCACTGTGTCCCGAATTTGTCTTTTAAGAGAAATATATTTCTTGGATAAGATTTAAAAAATTTTTCATACTCTGTTCTCAAAAGGCATTTATCAATTATCAATGAGTAGGTTAAGACAGCCTGGTCTAAATGTTTGATGAATAAACTAGGAATGGCTTTTTAAGCTCTGGCTCTGAGTTGGTTTCTATGTTGGTAATCCTGAATGTCCGTTCCTGGAGCTTGCATTTTCTTTGGTGCTGACTTCTGTGGTATCTTTCACTGAGAGACTGATTTGTCTGAAGCTTGCAACTGTCCTCACTGTGCTCAGAACTCAATATACCGATTTCTCCACGAAGTGCTATCAGCTGGAAATGTAAGTCACTGAAAGGCGGTTAAAGTGCCTGAAACATCCCGAGTCCTGAGGTGCTGTGGCAGGTCACCCGGGCAGAGTCCTGACCCAGGGACTCATGGCACGTGCTCACGAGGCTGGAGAAAACACGGGCACCCCTCTCACCACAAGGTGGAGGACCCGAGAGATACACTCTCTCCAGCCATTTCCAGTTTCTGTGGGAGTGAAAATGGGCACGGCAATAAAAGGCTTTTATCTGCAACCAGGTCTCCCACACAACCCTGTTTCATCAGTTATCAGTCAATGTCTAACCAATTACAGGGCTGCTGTCAGGAGACAAGTAACCGTAGTTGAGAGAGCCCGAGAGTGGTTGTTCATTGGGAATAGGAAGTCTCTTTGTTGAAAAGGGGGAAAGAATCATTTTATAAGTTAGTGCCAGAAAGACCTGAAATTTCAAACTCAATTCATGAGTAATAAATTTAAAAATCGGACTTACCAACCCGATTTTTAAAGGGACAATGTAAGGTTTTGAGACTGCACACAGTAACCAGTCACTACTAAAGTCTCCCCTCCACTGGGATCACAGTGTTCATTGTTAGCACCTCTCATTCCTTAGAACTTAAATGCAATGCATATCTAGACCAAATAAAGTAACTGTATTAACTTAATGGGCTTATGATTTAAGAGAGCCTGCCGCCCCCACCAGCCTAAGAAGAATCTACATAACAAGGCAGACGCCTTGTTTCCTGTCACCTGCCTTTGGTGCTACATGAAGAAATAAATAAGAACATTTCAATTTGCAACTTAAAATTGGGTAAGTGACTCTCACCAAAGGCCATCACCTAAGTCTTTTCTATCAGTTTAGGTCTGACTTTCTATCAGCCAAAACCACAGGAAGCTTTTGAAGCAATCCTGGTATGTGGAGTTAGAGTTGTACAGGCAGGGACTGCTGCTGATTTCTATGAGACATCATCAGCTAAAGGCAAAAAAGCAAAGGACAAGGGGGCAGGGCCTCCATATTCCTCCACCTGAAAAAAGGTCACTGAGAGGAAGAGCCTGGACAGCCTACAGGTGCCTCTCCACCAGCCCACTGAGCTCCCTGCCATTTCAGAGCCACTGTCTACGGAGGAGCAAGAAAAGCACGAATAACTTGCTGAAACTGAAAATAAAGACACATTGGCAGGTCTGAGTACTGAGGACAATAGGGCCATTTTGGAAATGTCATTATCCAACGTCTATCAATGCTAAAATTAAATTTTGACTCAGACTGAAACTTAAACAGGCCATGTTTTCTGATTAAAACAAAAGCCTATGATAGGAGCTAAAGAAATCACCAACACCAGTTATTAAAAAATCTTAAAAATAAAAAGAAGAAAAATTTTGTTTAAGACCAAGGAAAATATATGTGCAAATGAATAAAAAGATAACACGTTTTTTATTTTCCATAAAAATGTGTAAGATTTATATGATAAAACTATCACATTAACCTTGTACATGTTTGACAACAAAACTAGTCTTTCAATTTGAAAAATCTGATTTTCATCTTAAAATATAGTTGCTGTACAAAAATGTGATTTTCCCCCCTATTTTTAGCAGTCGACTCACATTTTTATTGTGCAACAAAGCCATAATGTTTGTCTCCTGGAGAATACTAGATATGGAGTTAAACTTTTATGTATATAGATAATGGAATATTAAAATATTCACATGATATAAGCATAACCAATGGACATAAGACACTGAGGAATAGGGGAGACTAGGGGACTGTCTAGGGCGGGGAAAAAAATGGACACATATGTAATACCCTTTGTAATAAAAAATAAAATTAAAAAAATAAAAATAAAAAAAAAATATTCACATGGCTTATAATAGTGTTATATAATGCACACACACACACCCCTGATGGATGCTCAGATAGTAACAAGAGGAATTGCCCTTTTAATGTTACCTGACTCTAAAAAAATGAATGGTTTGCATTTCCTTCCAAATACATAGCGGCCACGTGTGAGGCTCAGCCCACTTTCATTTTGGTTTAGAGTCTAAACCTTAACCTGCCTCCCATCAGGTAACACAGAAACACTGTACCCAAGGCACTCAAACTGGTCATCACGATCAGAAGAGAACTTTACAGACTCTCCTGACCTCGTGGGCCAAAATGCAGAGCTAGCCCAACCATTCGTCAGCGAGCTCACCATGCACTCTGGGAGAGCGTCTTCAGCAATATGCCTTCCTAGCCAATCTCAGAATTGTATCAGAAACAAGGAGAGAAAATAAGATAACTTCAGTGAGAAAGATGAGTGGCTGCTATACCACAGCTAATTTGATGATTAAGGCAAAGAGTAGGCATGAATTCAAATATTAATTTTGTGCAACTCACTTGTTGATGGTTCTTCCAAAAGTGACCTGAACGAGAGCAATTAATGTTCTTCTCACCCATTTAAACACTAAAATGTAAGTCAGAGGAAAAGTATTATCACAGGAGAGCACAACGATGACATTTTCATAGCTACACAAGCACACACTTAATCACGGAGCTCAATCGCAGGCCTGACGCCAAGCCAGGGCCATGGTATCTGCAGGATGCGGGACTAGGTTAGCAAACTTCTGCCCAGGAAAATTCTCACTAAGCTTGCATTTTCTGCTTAGCAACCGATAAGATAAAACCTAGGAGTTTTTACAGCATTTAAATACCCAAAAAACAGCTGAGCTAACAAGTGGAAATAACACTTTACTTCTTATATCCCTGGGCTCCTGACAACGGTCTGTTTTCCATCAGCAGACAGACTTCTGTCTGGCTTGTTGCCCAATTTCCTAACACTTCTCTGAATGAGAAACATGTGCAGTCAGATGTCCACAAATATTGTGAAATATTCATGAATGGATGGGTCTAACTCTAACTGCTCCCATTTGAGCAGTAGTTTGTAGAGCACCATGCACTTTTGTATATTTTATGCCTTTCGGGGAAGAGCAGGATCCTGAGCCGTGAACTCGGTCCTCTCCTGCTGCCTGGAGCAGCTGGGCAAAGCCGCCACCTCTGAGCCTCGGTTTCCTCATCTGGGAAAGGACAGTAGTAACATGGGCGTTTTTTTGCGCTGGGTTCTACAAATCTAAACTTTTATGATTTCTATAGGTACAGAATTAAATATAAACAAAAAGAAGACAAAGTAATGCTGTGGGGACATTTTAGGTCTGCAAGTTGGAGACTAAACCAATTTGCCATTTATATATTCACCTCCATTCATTGAAACATTTAGCTACAGACACCCGAGCAAAGGAGACACTCAGACTTGACTATAATGGAGCCGAGAGTTCAGGGCTCCTGTGCCGGTTAGAAAACCTAAAGGAGTAAATGCACAAACCCTCTGTGCAGGGAAGCCACAAACACACGTCAGCAATTCACATAGACCTGGTACTAGACGTCAGAACAGTCTCAGGTCATTTCTAACATTTTAAATGGCTAAATGACCAGTTAAAGTAGTGTTGTTAATCCTTCAAGTAAGATTCAAGTCCTGGAATCGAGACCAGGCCTTTAAAAGCACCTTAAATTTCCGATGGCACACAGGGCACGCTGCCAGCTGGTAGACCTCGTCGCCTGAGGCTGCCATTTAGGCTGGGGAGCCTGCCTGTCAGGGACAGTGAGCACCCGGCCTTTCTAGGGCAGGAGAGAGGTGGCACCTACCAGGGGTCTGAGGACCTGTGCATCTCAAGAAAGAAGGCCTGTCAGCCGACTGACTGCTTACATGTGTGTAAAAGGCTGTACTACTGGCTCCTTTTTGCATACTCAACCAGAGCGGGAACCAAAAATGGCCTTGCTCCAGATTCCCTCCCATCACCGATCCCTGCTGACTCTACCACTTTTTCCTGTCTTCCCCACCCCCACCTATGTACAGAACAGCCAATGACTGCTTCCTAGAGCTCCTTTGCTCAAAGCCACAGAGGCAGCTGCAGCAACACTAGGATTTTGCTGACGGCAAAAATATCACATCTCCTTGTAAATGTTCTATTTCCCCCCCCACCTCGGAAATGTCATCAGCAAAACCAAATATGCATCTGAGCAGGCACATGATGGAGGCCGGCTCCTGCCCTGACTGGCTCTGGCAGATCCACCACAGCTGGATCTCGCAGGGAAAGGCGAAGATGCCGGGAACAGGCCTCACCACTTCATGAGCCGGCTTCATGAGGAAGAGGGAGACTTTGGGGGGAGGGCTAGTATTTCTGACCAAAAAACCCTGAACCAGGGAAATGGCAATAAATATCTTAAGTGTCTGAAGTATGCAACAGCTGTAGCTTTTTCATCTGAAAGGATCTTTAATATTTGGGCGATATTCCATCACCCAAATTTACCCTCCACTTCTGATATTTAGCTTAGTTCCAACTTTTCAATATTGAAATTTTGCTAAAAATGAACATCCTTATATATAAACCTCTGTCTGCAGTTTTGAATTTAATTATGTCTGTTGCTTAATGTGAGTTACATTTCTGGAACCCTTATCTTGTAAATGCACTGAAGGAAGAATCTACATCTGATATAGTTTTGTGTCCCCTACAGAGCTGTATCTAAAATATGCTCCCAAGTATTTGCTGATTGTTTAAGTTTGGGCTTAGGGGAAGAAAAAGTTCAATGACCAAAATAATTAATTCCGGCACTTAAAATGTGCTCGCCTGTTCATCCACCAGTGCATCCATCCAGGCATTTCACTGACCATCTACTATGGATGAGACATTGTAGTAGTCAGAGGAATGAAAGTCACACAGACACACCTAAGTTTATAAGACCACTTGCAGTTTTTTCATCTGCTAATAATTCTTTAGGTGACATTAAGGGGATATATAATTCAGAAGGGACACACTTCCTATATTAGACCCACGCCCAGCCCACCACCTTTGCCCCAAGGGAAAAGATGCTAATCTGGGTGGAGAGAGCCCAGGACAGTCAAGGGCACCATTTGACTGGCTGGTGGCATTACTATGTCCGGCAAACAAACCCTTACTCTCTGCGTGCTTCCTCCTCTGGGTGGGCCTTGAGGCACCATCACATCGCCAGCTAGTACTGAGGCCCCCAGGATAACTGAGTGCACTGGTCTCATGATAGAGTGTTGGGGGCAGTGGAAGGTAGGGTGTGTGTGTGTGTGTGTGTGTGTGTGTGTGGCGGAGGGGGGAAGGACTCAAGACTAAACCAAGTAGTACAGTTTGACTTTTCACCCAACTACTGCTTTAGGAGAGAGGCCCTTGGGTGGGCCTTAACAAAATAGTATTTTGATCCTATTTTGCTATTGTTTCTTCTAAGTACATGTCCCCTAAGAACTACCAAGGTAGGCATTCTCAGTCTGAGCATGCCTGTCATTTGGGGCAGGATAAGTCTGTTGGGAGGCGCTCACCTGGGCATCGCAGGAAGTTTAGCAGCACCCCTGGCTGCCTGTAGCACCACCCCCAAGTTGTGACAACCAAAAAGGTTTCCAGACATTGCCAAGTGTCCCCTGGGGACAAAATCCCCCAGCCCTCCACTGATAGCCACTCCTCCACGAAAGAAAGGTGGCTGAGGCTGAAGCAGGATGGAGGCTGTCCTGTGTCCCTGGCCATAACACTATCTCAGCAACACCCAAACCTCACCTTTAACAACAGGGCTGTTCCTCTGCTATGAAAAACTATTTCTGCTTACCTTCTGGTGATAAAGCAGTGAGACTATGCTAAGTCACGTGAAAAGAAATTCAAGGCATTCTC